GCCAGCAGGGCGGGGCCATGGAGGGGACGCGGGGCAGTGAGGGAGCGGGCTCAGGGGCCGCCAGCGCAGTTCCCGGGTGGGGAGGGGTCATGGGGCAGTGAGGGGGCGGGCTCACGGGCCGCCAGCGCAGTTCCCAGGCCGGGGAGGGGTCTTGGGGCGGGGAGGGGTCTTGGGGCAGTGAGGGGGCGGGCTCACGGGCAGCCAGCGCAGTTCCCGGGTGGGGGAGGGGTCTTGGGGCAGTGAGGGGGCGGGCTCACGGGCAGCCAGCGCAGTTCCCGGGTGGGGGAGGGGACGCGGGGCAGTGAGGGGGCGGGCTCACGGGCAGCCAGCGCAGTTCCCGGGCGGGGGAGGGGTCTTGGGGCAGTGAGGGGGCGGGCTCACGGGCAGCCAGCGCAGTTCCCGGGTGGGGGAGGGGACGCGGGGCAGTGAGGGGGCGGGCTCACGGGCAGCCAGCGCAGTTCCCGGGCGGGGGAGGGGTCTTGGGGCAGTGAGGGGGCGGGCTCACGGGCCGCCAGCGCAGTTCCCGGGCGGGGGAGGGGTCATGGGGCAGTGAGGGGGCGGGCTCACGGGCCGCCAGCGCAGTTCCCGGGCAGAGGAGGGGACGCGGGGAAGTGAGGGGGCGGGTTCACGGGCCGCCAGCGCAGTTCCCGGGTGGGGGAGGGGACGCGGGGCGGTGAGGGGGCGGGCTCACGGGCAGCCAGCGCAGTTCGAGGTGCCTGGGGGCCCTGTGTGTGGGCGCACGGGGGAGCCTGCGGTCCCGTGTCCCCTGCCCACCGTCTCCATCCTGTGACAGGTACATCTACCGGCTCTGCCCCTTCAAGCTCGTCTCTCAGAAACCCAAGCTCGGCGGCTCCCCCACCAGCCTTGGGTGAGTGGGCTCAGACTGAACCCCCCTCCCCCAGCTGCCCAGTCCCCGCCAGCACCGCCCCCCACCCTAAGCACCCTGTCTGCCGCAGCACCTGGGGTTCGTGGGCTGGCCCTGAGCACGACAAGTTCAGCGCCATGAAGTACGAGCAGGGAACGGGCTGCTGGCAGGGCCCGAACCGCTCCACCACCGTGAGTGCCAGGGGGTGCGGGGGGCAGGGGGTGCGGGGGCCCGGGCCCACCCGAGCCTGCCTGAGCCCCTGCCTTGCCCATCCCAGGTGCGCCTGCTGTGTGGCAAGGAGACCGTGGTGACCAGCACCACGGAGCCCAGTCGCTGCGAGTACCTCATGGAGCTGATGACGCCGGCCGCCTGCCCTGAGCCGCCGCCCGACGCGCCTGCCGACGGCGACCACGACGAGCTCTAGCCCGGCTGGGCGCCGAGGTGGGCAGGGGGCTGAGGCTGCCTCGACTCGGGGCTGCAGCGGGGTCTGCGGAACACTTCTGTCCCCACCCGTCCGCCTCCATCTCCGTCTTTCTCATGTGGTCTTTCTCTGGCTCCAGAACCTCAAGGCACGGAGATGTCCCCGGTGGGGCCGCCCGCCCGCCCGCCCGCCCCACCCTGTGGCCCGAGGCCCGCCCCCCCGGTGTGCTCAGCCTCCCCACAGGGGCAGGAGCCGTGTGGAGCCCCGTGCCCTGCCGGGGGTGGCGCGGCTGCGTCCCCAGGCCCCCGCGGTCTCCAAAGGTGGAACACAGGAGTTCGCCCGCCCCCGGCGCCCGGCCCCCCGCCCCCGCCCACGGTGTCTGCCTCCCTTCCTGGTGGGGATGAGTGACTTGATCTGTGACCTCAAAACAATAAACACCATCCCCCCCAACCAGGCTGTGTCTGCCTTGCTTTGCTCAGGTGTCCACGGGGCCAGGGATGGGCTGAGGGGGGAATTCAGGAGAAGCGGCTTTCTGCAGATGGTGCCCAGACCTTGTCCCCCATCAGGCTGGCTCCACAGCTGGGGTCTTACCAGAGCCTGATTCACATCTGAGCTGCCCCACGGGCGGTGGAGAGAAATCCAGCACCACAGGGCAGACGGACCCCAGGCCCCTTCCATCTGGGCTTCTGCCCGTACCAGTTGCCCACCCATCCTGAGTCCCAGGTGCGTTGTGGGGAGGCCCCGGGGCTCCAGATGAGAGCCAGGCCCAGGGAGGGACGGCAGCCTAGGCGTGGCCGCACAGCTCGGGTCAATGACACACACTCCCAACGCTCCCCACCTGCCGGCACGGACAGCGGAGACCATAAGATTCTGAACTTTTATTTTCTGGCATGAAAAGTACAAATAATTAAACAATTCCATGTAAAAGTCTGTTACCGCGGCCAGGCCTGTAATCCCGGTAATAAATAGTCTAAACGCAACGCAAAGTGTTCTTGTTGGGTTTTGGGTTTTTGTGATTTTTTTTGTCTTTTTCTTTCTTTTTTTTTTTTTCTTTTTTCTTTTTTTTTTTTTTACAGTTCTTTATCACCTCCAACATGGACTCTGTCGTGATTTGAAACCTTCTGAATAAATAACAGGATGAAGGGAGGGCTGGAGGGGCTGAGCCCCCATCCCACGGGCCCTGCCCCTGACCCCCAGGGATGTGGAAGACCCCAGGCCCTCCCCCGCAACCGGCCCCTGGGGTGAGGGGATGGCTTCTGGGGAGGGGGCCTGGCTGGGCTGAGTTCCGTGTTTTAGAAAAAGGAGTCCCCTCCCAGACTTGGGGGTGTCAGGGGCCTAGGCCTCAGTGGGGGGGAGGGTGTGTGTGGGGAGGTGCCCCCTCTGCAGAGCCCGGCTGCCCCAGGGTAGGGGACAAACCCAGCCCTTATTGCTCACAGACGCCTCCTGCACGCTGCCCACGTGTGCCCACGTGTCCCTGCGCTCGGAGGGCGGAGGGGAGAGAGCCCCAAGACACAGCAGAGGGAGAGGGGTGGACCCACTGGGGGTGCCTGCCCTGCTGGAGGGGAGCTGGGAGGTTGGGAAGGACTTAAAAACCACAAGAATAAATAGGTTCGTGTATCAAGAACAAGCTAGGGTTTTTCACCAGCTAAATAGGACTGAAAAAATTCTCAAGACGAGCAAAAAGAATCCCATTAAGACCCCGGACGTCGCTGGCCGCGGGGACCGCCCCACAGAGCACGCGCCCCCCGGGCGCCGCTCGGCTACCATTACTGTTATTAATAATTATTATTACTTTAATGATTCCATTTCCCCTTTTATAAATAAATTAGGCATAACCACGTCTCAGCAAAACTTAAAGAAACAAAGAGAACATCGTGGTTCCTTTAAACTTGCAAACTGGATGAAGTAACAGAAATATACACAAATGTCCTTACAGGGCAACAAGGAGAATAAATAGTTAACATAGCAATAAGTTAAAACTACAAGAAGCTAAATTCGGCAAAAAAGTACAAGAAAGTTAACTGGTGCCAGTTTATGTCTTTTTTTTTTTTCCTTTTTTTTTTAAATCTCTTCTGTGTGTTTTTTTTCTTCCTTTTTTTTGTCGCTTTTTTCTCTTCTGTTTGTGTTTTTTTGTCGCTTTTTTGATTTTTTTTTTTTTCTTTTTGTTCCTTGCAGCAGAAGCTCCACAGACGTTTACTAACAAACACCGGGAGGGGTGGGGGAGAGAGAGCTGGGCAGTCAGATGGGGCCATGGCCGGACACCAAACGCAGGGACACCGGAGGAAGGGCGACTGAAGCTGAACTCGGGGTTTGTAATTCTCAGTTCCTACTGGGCCCGCTGCGGGGGGTGGGGGGCTGCGAGGGCTCCCAGGGGCTCCGGCCTTCGGCTTCTGTTGGAATTTTTTCTTTCTTTTTCTTTTTACTTTTTTTCTTTTTTTCTTTTGTTTTTTTTTTTTTTTTTTTTACAAAGAATGAAAACTAGGGGAATGGAGAGCGTCTGGACTTTCCAGACAGAAGCCGGGGCTGGGGCTCGGGATGGGGGCTGCTTCCACGGCCCTCAGGAGTTTGGAAAGACAGAAAAACCCAACAAACTGAAAAGGGGTGACAAGTGGGGGGAGAAGGAATTTGGGGCTGGGCCTCTGGGCTCATCCACCCCAGGGTGCGGGGGGGGGGGGGCGGGCTGGAGGGAACAGCGGGTACTTCCTGCTGGGGAGGCCTTGGGGGAGGGGGAAAGCTCAGGGCCCAGCCTCCCCCCTCAGCCTCTGGGCCAGGGCCTCGGCCCAGGGAGGTTCAGCCCCGGGGACAGGGGGTCCTTTGGCCTCAAGTGTTGGGGGGGGCTGCCTCCAGCCCACCATGACGCCAAAAGTGAGACGAGGTATCGTGTGTTTGGATGCATGGATGCTCTGTGTGTGCACGCCTGTGTTCGTGGGCGGCAGGGACCACTCATGAGCCAGGAGAGAGCTCTGCAGAGAACCTGGGGCCGGGCTGAGTGGGGCCACGCATCCGCAGGAGACCCGGGCGGCCTAGCTGGAGGAAGTGGACTGGGCCAGGGTCTGGGCTACCACCTCTCGCCTGGGCCTAAGGGATGCTATGGGCATGTCGTTGTCTCCTGGGGTTGTCTCTCTGCTTCTCCATGACCGGGTGTCTATAGATTTGTGTGTCCAAATGTCTGTCTCTGCTCTGACGTGTCCACGTGGAAATGTTCACATTCCGCATCCACCTGCGGCTGCATCTGCCCACGTCGGTGTTTGCCCGTGGCCACATTTGCTAGCCCCCCTTGCTTCGGTCTCCTGTGATTATCCACGTGTGTGTCTGCATGTCTGGGTCTGGCCCACGAGCTCCTGAAGGTGTCCGGGGCATGTCTCTGGGTCTGTCAGTGCTTCTGTGTGTCCCTGTGGGTGTGTATGTGTGTGTGTGTGTGTGTGTATGCGCAGGTGCGCACATGCCCCCGCGTGTCTTCGCGTGGCTGTGTTTCTCTGTGTGGCCCCGTGGACCCCCGGCCCCCAAGCCCTGCTCCCTGCCCCTGCCCCAGTTGGTAAACATAACCTGCCAAAATATTTTCTTTTTTTTTTGTCTTTTTTTGTGTTTTTTTTTTCAAGTTCAAGAATCCCCAGTAAAAATTCTCCACGAGGTCTTTTTTCCCTTTTTACAAAAATAGAGTTTTTCTTCCCCTCCCACCCCCCCTTTTTTTTTCATTTTGTTTCTGTTTCCAGCCCCTCCCCCTGCTCCTCACACTCCATCCAGGGGCTCTGGGCCAGGGATGCCCACACCCCTCCTCCGTTTCGCTTTTTTGGGGATTTTTAAACCTGTTCCCCCTCCCCTCAGGCTTATCTAGGTGTTGGGGAGGCCTGGGCAAGGGGGTCTGGGAGGGCACCCCCAGTGTCCCCGCAAAGCCATCCCGTGGAGGGTGGTTGAAGGTGGGGTGGGGGCACATCTCTGCTTTCTTTTCAGCCGAAAAAAGAAACAAAAACCATCGCCATGAACAAAACCAAGACGAGAGAGTGAACAGCCCAGCCTGGGGTGGGGGCAGGAGGACGGGGTGGGGGACCCCCAGGCACCCCCCATTCCCTGCAGACTCTCCCACCCCGAGTGCTCACCCTGTGGCTTCCGCAGGGATGCGGGGCCCTCGTGCCGTCGGTGGTCTGCCTGCGCTGTCTCTCTCAGGGCCCCTCTCTCTCTCTTTCTCTCTCTCTCTGCTGCCCGGGGAGGGTGGGGAGGGCGGGCGGCGGCGGCGGCTCAGGCCTTGTGCTGTTTGCTGGTCTTGAAGGACACCTGCAGCACACGCTCGCCCAGGCGGTAGCCGTTGAGGCTGGCGATGGCCATGGCCGCTTCGTCGTAGTTGGTCATCGTGACGAAGCCAAAGCCCTTGCACTTGTTGGTGGTGAAGTCGCGGATGACCTTGACATTGGTGACCGCCCCGAAGGGCCCGAACAGCTGCCACAGCACGCTCTCGTCCGCCTCCGGCGACAGGTTGTACACGAAGATACACCAGCCGGCGCCCGCCGCACCCCCCGACAGGCCCACGCCCGCCAGGCCGCTCATGCCATCAATGGCGATGGGGGAGAACCTGGCGATGAGCGACAGGGGACTACTTTGGGGGTCACGCGGGCTCTGCCCTGACCCCCGGCACACCCCTGAGCCCCTGGGACCCCTGACGCCGGCCGTGCCGTGACCCCTGCGTTGTCCTGACCCTGCCATGGCCTCATGACCTCCGCCTCTGACCCCAACTGAATCTCCATCCCCACCTGTAGCCCTGGCCTGACTTCTGACCTGCCCTGAAGGTCAGGCCCTCCCCCACAAGGCCTGCTGGGAGCCCCCATCTACACCCTGACCCCCTAACCTCTGAGCCTACGGGAGCCTGGCTCCTTCCCCACTCCTGGCCAACTACCCCTCCCTTGGCATACTTTCCCCCCACCACCCCCACCCTGCCACTCCTCCTCGGCTAGAGGCCCACCAGGCGGGGAGTGCGGCTGGGGAAGCACCACCCTCCATGATAACGCAGTCCGCTGCCTTCCTCTGCCCCTTACCAGCTTTTTCCTGCTCGGATTGTGTATTTAGGATCCGCTCCCCTTTCCCTGCAAGGTTTGCTCCCTGCGGTGCCCCAGCCCAGAACAGCCCCCGAGCGCCACCGCGACCCGGAAGGTTTGTTGACTGACTGACGGAGGGACCGAGTGAATGAACAGGATTGGCTCCACCCTCGTTCCTCACTGCCTCCCTACCTTCCCAGGCCTCGTTCCGCTCAGGGCGAGCCTCAGTGGGGAGGAACGCTTGCTCACTGGCACCTTGGTCGTGTCAGCGGTCTCACCGGGGTCCCCGTCACCCCTTCCCCCTTCACAGCCCTGTTCGCTGTTCCTGTCTCCTTCCCCACTAGACTGAGATAATGAATAACAGTAACAATAATCACAAGAGTGGCTACCTTTTATTGAGCGCTCACTACGTGCCAAGCACTGTGCTCAATGTCCTTTCGTCTCCATGAGAGACCAAGTCTGGCTGAGCCACCTTGGGTCTCCAGCCCCGAGCCCAGCGCCCGGCACTCAGTGTGTGCTCAACAACTCTCGATGCAGTAAACACAGGGAGCCCTCCCAGGGTCAGGGGTGTGGACAACGTTGTGCGGGCCTCGAGATCCATCCCAGACCAGGGGCTAAAAGGGGGGGTACTCTGTGACCCTCAGCAAAGACCATCAACAGTGGCAGATGGAACGCAGACTTCGCGTGGGAACCCAGGAGCATGGCCGTGAGCAGACCCATGACTGTGACCCCTTCCCTGGGCTGGAGAGCGCCCCGGCCAGGCCCTCCCAGGCCCAAATTCCGTAGTAGCTCTTTCTAGGCACTTACTAGGCTCCATAGCCCCTCTCTTAATGGACACGCTACTCCCAGACACCAGACAGGGGGGCAGACGCAGCTAAGCTGGCTGTCCCGGGGGGAGGTGGGGGAGGGGAGCACTGGGGCAAGAGTCCAAGGAGGGACAGTGGGGAGCTGGGGGCAGCGGGGCGGGGGCACTGTTACCTCTTGACTCCGTAGGCCATGTTGAGCAAATTATCCAGCCTGTGGAAGCAAAAAGGGTGGTCACCCGTGGCCTCCGGGCACACCCCCAGCTGTGACGCTGGCCGGGCCCAGCCTGACTGCCCTCCCTGCCCCCACCCAGCAGGCCAGCAGCCCGGCCCTGCCCCCACCCGCCTGCTCCCCGCCCGGCTGGACACCGCCTGGCACGGAACCGTGCTCACTCGGGCACTGCCTCTCGCCTGCCCTGCCGCTGCCTGGCCTGCACCCGTGTCCTGTCCCGCCCAGCCCCACTCGCCTGCCCCCACCCTGCGGGGCTCAGGTCCCCAGAAGGGGAGGTTCAAGTCTCTTTGGGGCAGTGTCTCATCTGGGCAAGTACCTCAGGGTCCCTGTTCCTAAAATACAGGCAAGACAAGCTCCGTTCTCATGAGTATAGATACCTGGGGGCACACAGCACGGGAGGCCCATCCCCAAGAGAGGGGGGCCCCAATCAGGTGACTGTAAAATGCTTTTTTTGACTCAAAATTCTTTTTTTTTTTTTTTTAAGATTTTATTTATTTTTTTGACAGAGACACAGCGAGAGAGGGAACACAAGCAGGGGGAGTGGGACAGGGAGAAGCAGGCTTCCCACGGAGCAGGGAGCCCGATGTGGGGCTCGATCCCAGGACCCTGGGATCATGACCTGAGCTGAAGGCAGACGCTTAACGACTGAGCCACCCAGGCGCCCCGATTTTTGACTCTAAAATTCTTAACACCGAGGGTGCCTGCGTGGCTCAGTCGGTTAAGCATCTGCCTTCGGTTCAGGTCGTAATCCCGGGGTCCTGGGATCGACCCCCGCCATTGAGCGCCCTGCTCAGCTGGGAGTCTGCTTCTCCTTCTCCCTCTGCCTCTCCCCACTCCTGGCTTGCACTCTCTCCCTCTCTCTCTCTAATAGATCTTTACAAAAAATAAATAAAACTCTTCACACCGATAGTGCCCCTCATATGCCCTGCATACATTGAGTGCCTGCTGTGTACAAGGGCTTGGCCTCAGCATCTGACTGACCCACACATTTCCCCTTTGCTGCCCTCAGTGGCCCCAGCATGTGGACACCCTCCCAGCGTCCTTCTGCGCTGCAGGAATGGGGTTCAGGGAGGGTGGCTGCAGGCTTGGGCCCCCAGCATGGGGGGGGTCTAGGGTGCCTGGGGGCGGGGTTGCAGGGGGTTTACCGGAAGCGCTGCGTCTGATGGTGCAGGGGGCCTGCGTAGCGCCGGGCTGACGACTGGTAGAGGTGAGTGAGCAGGGCCTGCCCAGTCTTCTGACTCGGGTTATTGGCGAACTTGACCGTGATGGGCTCTGCCGCGCCCAGCGGCTTCTGCCCGTTCAGTCCTTTGATGGCCTCCTCAGCCTCAATCCTCTTGTCGAAGCGGATGAATCCCACACCCCGAGAGACGCCTGCCAGGGAGTGAGGGCGTCATGAGGACCCTGCCCCGTCCCGTGACCCCCTTGCCCGTTTCTCTCCCCGCCATCTCCATTTTGGTCCCACCTCCATGCCTTTGCCCAGGGCCCTGCCAAGTTAATCGTCCCCGGCGGCCTGACCTGTGACCTGGTCCACCAGGATGCGAGAAGTGATGATGCGGCCATACTGGGAGAAGAGCTGCTCCATTTCTTTCTGGCTCATGGTCTTGGGGAGTCCACTGACATACAGGTTAGCATCTCGGATGGATGCAGAACTGGGTCGGGCATAGGACACCTGGGGGGGACGGGCAGGTGGACAGAGGTGAGGGGAAGACCCATTTCACAGATGGGGAGAGTGAGGCCACGTCCTGACCACCAACGAGCGGCAGAAGTGCCTCATCTGTTCACTCAATAAATCTCTCTCAAGTAGTCTCCGTGGGTGGCGCCGGCCAGGGCTTGAGGGAGGGGACACGGCTGTGGCCGATAATGTGGCCCGGCCTACATAAAGGGGGGAGGGAAACCTGTCGCTGGGCCCCCGGGGGGCAGATGTCACCTTGAGGACCTTGAGTCCCTAGCTCCTGCTCTCACACCATACATTCCGTCAACATGACATTTCCCGCTCCTTTGGAAAGTGAGCTTGGGACTCTGGCCCTTCTCTTTCTGACCACATTGGGGCCCTCAGGGTCACTCAGGTCTTTAGCCGCCAGCTCGATGCTGATGACTCCCAAATGTCTGTCCCCAGTGTGGGCCTGAACCCCAAGCTGCATACCTGTGCGAAAGCTGCCTCTGGGTGCCCCCCGAGGTTTCACAGGGGATCACAGTGAAGCTGCATCCAGCTCCCAACTGTCCCCCAGCTTGCTCCAGTTCAGTAACAGTAGCTTCGTCCTCCTGGGTGCTCAGGTCCCCAGCCTCCGTTGTCCCTGATGCCCATCTTTCACACCCACATCTAATCCACCATGGATCCTTCCTCATTACCCGGAATCCACACACTTTCCCCCACTTCCACTGCTGCATCCTGGCCCACCTCCCACCCTTGCTCACCCAGACCAGTACAACAGCCTCTACCCCACTCCCACCCTAACCTCCCCAGGCTCTTTCCTCCATGGCTGCCAGAGGGCGCCTGTGAGCAACTGAGTCAGGGCACATCTTTCCTCTGCTCAGAACCTTCTGTGGCTCTCACCTTCCCCAGAGTAAAAGTCCTTCTCACAGCCCACAAGGCCCTGCACAACCTGCCCGTCACCCCACCCCCTCACCCTCCTCTCTGCCCAGAACTGCTCTGTTTCAGCCACACCAGTCTCCTCCGTGTTCCCCAGACACACCAGGCACACCCTAGCCTCAGGACCTTTGCTCTGGCTGTTCCCCTCAGCCTGGAACACCTTTCCTCTCCTTTCTTCTTCCAGTCGCAACTGAAATGTCCTCCCTGTCCTCTTCCATCTGAATTTGGTCCTCCGCCCCTACCCGCCCCCGACCCTCAATTCTCTCCAAGCACTTTTCTCAGTGGTGAATTAGACACGTTTTAGTACGATCATTGGATTTGTGTCATTAATTACGGTCCAGCCCAACAATGAAACTCTCTGCAGCTGTTTAAAAAATGGTGGACGTGTATATTTATTTCCCAGAAACAGTGGTGAGTATTGTAAACTGGGGGAAAGAAAAGTCCATTTACAGAGCACCCGGTTGTGTGACCCCATCTCATTGTGTGCTTATCCGTGTCCTGGAAACACAGTCTGGAGGGGCCGCCCCCAGATGCTAACAGGTTGACCTATAGCTGGTGAGGTACCGGGGGGCACGAGCTTCTCTTCCCACTCATTTCTGCTACGGTCTATTTTTAGTATCCTTCTAAATTAACCTCTGGGTAGATAAGGGTCATTGTCAAAGGTCTGTCTTTTGTTTGGTGTGGTGCGTTGTGGGGGCAGAGCACTTCATTAGAAACACTAATTAAAAAACTAACAAAAGGGGCGCCTGGGTGGCTCAGATGGTTGGGCGTCTGCCTTCGGCTCAGGTCATGATCCCGGGGTCCTGGGATCGAGTCCCGCATCGGGCTCCCTGCTCCTTGGGAGCCTGCTTCTCTCTCTCTCTGTCTCTCATGAATAAATAAATAAAAATCTAAAAAAAAAAAAAGATTAAAAAAAAAAAACTAACAAAAGGAGTACACGGGGCCAGGGGTGGCTCATGGTGAGGGCACTCCTGGGCCGGAGGTAGAGGGGTCCTAATTCATGCAATTGTGCGCACCTGGGGTCCTCCAAGGAAACAAACACAAACACAGCAGCTGCTCTTCTTCCCGGGTAATATTAATTCAAAATCATGGCCACATACTCCATGGTTTCCACTCTCCCACGGGGCTGTGAGTTTTGAGGGGTGAGGGCTTGTTGATGAATCAGAGTTAGGGGTGAGGGCAAAACAAGCCTCAGCTCCTGGGTGGGCGTTTGGGGTAATCGGGGGTCATTTGAGGCACTGAGTAGGTCTTTGGGGGTCTTTCCCATCTCCCCCAGGATGGGGGCTGACCCAGGTCCCTCAGCTGGCTGTGGGCTCGGCCACACGCCCTCACCGGGACACGACGTGGGCAAGGTCTGCCAGAGCACCCGGTTGGGACCAACCATACAACGGTGCCGCCCAGGCGGACACACAAACACAGCCACGAGGCCGCCCCGTGCCACCGACTGCACAGCCCGGGTGCCTACACCAGCCAAAGGGTGACTCAAGGCTGCGAAGACATTCCTAGAGGCTCTGGGGGTCTCGGATAATTACAGTGAGAGTCGCAGAGGCACACACCTGTCACCACCGCACAAGCCCCCATCCTGATTTGGGCACAGGTAGACCCACCCACACAGCCCCACCAGGTCACAGTTGTCACAAAGCACCAGTGCAATAAAAACAGCGTCCCACAAACACAATGGCTCACAGCCCAGGGTATCTCTCACACACACACACACACACACACACACACACACACACGGCATGCATACAGTGGCCCTCTGGATTTGTCACTCTCATGCCCCAGGGCTTCTGAGTCTAGTTGGCCATGGAGGGACCCATTAGGTCATGACCTCATCCTCCCCAACAACGCACAATGGGAAGAGGAAGAGATTCCTGCACCTCTGTTCCCAGAGAGAACGGGGGCCAGATGGGCACCCCTAGCTCAGCCTCCCCCAAGGTTCCAGAGCAGATTTGTGGGGCGGAGTCCAGACACCCCCAGGCGAACCTAGAGAGGGGGGTTTCCATGGCGATCCCCCCCAGGGAATCTGGGCTAGCAGAGTCCCAGCTGCAGCTGCTTAGAGGGGAGGTCATGGGGGGAGGGGCGTTGCACAAAGGTGGGGGAGGGCTCGCCCCTAATCCCGCCCTCCCAGACCCTAATTAGGCTCCAGATGGCAGATGGGCCCCCACCCCTCCCCCATTTCCATGACAAAGGCAAGGGGGACTGCCCACCAGACCCTGGTCACTCTTCTACTGCCAAAGGCATGGCTACCTCCCTGAGCCACCAGAGAATGCGGAGCTGATAGTCTCACTGACAAATAAGGAAACTGAGTTTCAGAGAGGCAGAGCCACTGGGCCCCGGGTGCCCAGCTAGGAACTCTTGGGGGAGAGTTTGAACCACTCAGGGGATGAGCCATGGAGAAGGACGGGTGGCAGTGGGGAAAAGGGTGTGTGGGAAGGGTGGGTGGCTGTAGGGTTTGAGTAGCCATGAAGGGGGCAGTCCAAGAGGGCGGTAATAAGGGAGATAGGGGACAGTTGCAGATGGGCAGCCATGGGGGACGGGCAGCAGAGGGAAATGAAGGCACTAACCTTGATGGTCTTCGTCTGCAGTTTGAGGCCGTTGAGGGTGTTGATGGCTTTGTCTGCATCGTTGGGATCAGAGTAGTTCACAAACCCATAACCGAGGCTCTGCCCTGTGGGCAGGACCAGGATGATGACCTCCCCAGACCTACCAGTGTCCTCCCAGACCCAGTCCTGAGAGGCTGATTGCCATCACTCAAGGTTATGAGAATCAAGAGCCTCACCTTACTGTTCCCCGAGAGTACTACCTTGTCCCCAGGACACCTCAGATCCCCCAGAGTCCTGCCTACCCCCCATCACCCCTGAGATACCCTACCAGGGGTCACACCTGTCTCCCCATCACACCTCAGATCCCCCAGGGTGCTACCTGCCCCCGTCACACCTGTACTCCTGGGACTACCACCTCTGTCCCCTCCCTCCCCACCTGCCAACAGCCACACCTGTGATCTTATCCCGAACCAACTTGCAGGATTCGATGTCACCAATGCTGCCGAAGAGACTCTTGAACTCGTCCTGGGTCATGTTCTGGGGCAGGTAGTTGACGATGAGGTTGGTCTTGCTGTCATCAGTGGCTCCGTTTGTACCAAGGAGTGGCCCGTTGGGCAGGGCCGGGCCGGCCGGGCCCCCCGCCACCTGAGACTCCATGGCCCCGAGTATCTGCTGGAGACAACAGGCCACACCTGCTCACGGCCCAGTCCCTACACAGGCATCAGTGGGAGTGAGGGGGCGCTCAGTGGTGATGGATTAGCCACGTCTGACATGGGCTTAAACATGGAGAGAGGACAAGTATTATTCTAATAATCCCTTCCACTCCTTCAGCATCAAGCAAGCACCTTATGTGTGATTTTACTGTGAAAAATTCCATATACAGATGCCATATATGTCTGTTCGCTATGTTTGCCTGTTTGTCTAAAATCAGTCTGTGCATTTGTAGAATAATAAGATGAACACTTTTGTCTTCAGAATAAGAAATGTAATATTTTTATTAGCTTTGAAGTCCTCATAAGCTCCTCCCTGACCATGTACTGCCCTTCTCCCACCAAAGGGAATTCCTATCCCAAATGTGTTAATATTTCTTTTGCTTTATGCATAATTTTCCCACTAGGCATTTACACCCCCCTCAGTTTTTCCACTGAGCTATTTTTTATTATTTTTCAAAAATGTATTTATTTGAGAGAGAGAGAAGAGGGGCAGAGGAAGAGGAAGAGAGAGAATCTCAAGCAGACTCCCCCCCACCCAGCACTGAGCCTGATGTGGGGCTCGATCCCATGACCCTGAGATCACAACCTGAGCTGAAATCAGGAGTTAGATGCCCAACCCACTGAGCCACCCAGGAGCCCCTATTATTTTTTTTTAAAGATTTTATTTTTAAGGGGCAACTGGGTGGCTCAGTTGGTTAAGCATCTTCCTTTGGCTCAGGTCATGGTCCTGGGGTCCTGGGATTGAGCCCCGCATCCGACACCCTGCTCAGCAGGGAGTATGCTTCTCCCTCTGCTTCTCCCCCAGCTTGTGCTCTCTCTCTCGAATAAAAAATAAGGGCGCCTGGGTGGTTCAGTTGGTTAAGCGTCTGCCTTCGGCTTGGGTCGTGGTCCCAGGGTCCTGGGATCGAGCCCCACGTTGGGGCTCCCTGCTCGGCGGGGAGTCTGCTTCTGCTTCTCCCTCTCCCTCTGCCCTTCCCCCTGCTTGTACTCTCTCTCTCTCTCTCTCCAATAAATGAATAGAATCTTTAAAAAATAACAATAACAATAACAATAAATAAAATCTTTAAAAAATATATTTTATGTTTAAGTTATCTCTACACCAAATGTGGGGCTCAACTCATAATACTGAGATCAAGAGGTGCATGCTCTACTGATGGAGCCAGCTAGGTGTCCCTGAGCTATTTAAATGTATAACATAATAACACCAGCAAATAATGACAGTTTTATTTGTCTCCAATCTATACCTGTTATTTATTTTTCTTGTCTTATTGCAGGGGATACAGTGTGATAGTGGCTTTTTTATTCATGATGTTAAAGGAAATGTTTTAAAATATTTCACAGCTAAATTTGATTCTTGCTGTGGGTTTTCACTTATGAATGTTTAATTTTATTCTTAGTATCCTAACAAGATTTTTTTTTTAAAGAATGGATGTTGAGTTTTATTTAACGTTTTTTTCCTACATCCATTTTTTAATAATTGACATATAATATTACATTAGCTTCAGGTGTATAACATAATGACTCAATATTTGTATATATTGCAAAATTATCTGCACAATAAGTCTAGTTAACAACCATTATCAAATATACTTATAATTTTTTTTCCTGTGATGAGAAATTCTAAGATCTACTTCCTTAGCAATTTTCAAATATATTCTACATCTATTTTATGTATAAGGACCACACAGAGAAGAATTTTAAAGCCACATCTGGGCTCAGCAGGAAACAGTGCTGGGATTATCTGTCATGGGCCTGGGAAGGTAAAGTAGCCAGCATTTCCTTCGGTATTCTTCAATGGCATGGTTGGCAGATGGGTTGCCCTCACTTGAACAATCAAATCGATTGGTAGGGTTTTCCAAAAGGGATGAATTAGGAAGGATTAGAAGCCATATTCAGTTTCAGCAGGAGAGATCACTGTGATTGATTAGCAATGTCTTTGAGGCTACAGCATTAGAAAGAGTCAGCAGTACACTTCATCTCAGCCATCCCTGACCCAAAATACGATACCATACTTGTTCCCAAATATTGGGCCTACTGTGTGCCAGGCACAGTGCAAAACCCACTACATGCAATGTTTTGTTTTGTTTTTTCTTATTCACAACCACCCTGAAAAGAGAGCTTAATTTCCCCTGCTTAACAGATGCTATGAACTGGATGCCTGTGTCCCCTCAAATTCATATGTTGAAAACTTAATCCCCAATGTGATGGTATTTGGATGTGGAGCCTTTGGGAGGTAATTAGGTCATGAGGATGGAGCCCTCATGAATGGGATTCATGTCCTTACAAAAAGGGACAAGAGAGGGGTGCCTGAGGGGCTCAGTCAGTTACGCGTCTGCCTTAGGCTCAGGTCATGATTCCAGGGTCCTGGGATGGAGTCCAACATCGGGCTCCTTGCTTCTCTCTCTTCCTCTGCCCCTCCCCCCAGCTCATTTTCTCTCTCTCTCTCTCAAATAAATAAAATAAAATCTTAAAAAAAAAAAGGGACAGGAGAGAGATGATCTCTCTTTCCACCATGTGAGGACACAGCAAGAAGACGTCCATCTGCAAAGCAGGGAGCAAGTCCTTACTAGGAACCAACTCAGCTGGCACCTTGATCTTGGACTTCCCAGCCTCCAGAAGATTTATGAGAAATAACTGTTGTTTAAGCCCCCCAGTTTATGGTATTTTGTTAGAGCAGCCCGAGCTGACTAAGACAGATGAGGAAAGTGAAGTTCAGCAATGTTTTAAAAATTACTAAAGCTCATGCAGCTTATAAACGGCAAAACGGATTTGCACAGGAGCTTTTCTGATCCAGAGTCTGTATTTTCAACTTCCACTGCCAACGGAAGAATAGTGCTAGCTCTAACATTTCTCAGCTGTGTGTCCTCGGGTAGGCTCCATAATGCTTCTGGGCCTCTGCTCCGCTTTGCTGCAAACTCCGAGTTATTGGCACAGTGACCCCAGGGAAGGATCTAAAGCCACACATGGGTGCAGCTGGAATGCATTCTGGGATCAGGTCTGCCATGGGCACGATCACAGGAAGCAGCTTGTCATGTCTGCCAAGCCTCGTAATACCTGCTATTAATACTGGTCCTGCCCCATTGACATCTTCTGTGTGCTTCCAGGCATCATTTCACTTATTTCTCCCAATCATCTTTAGAGACAGCAACACATTCTCCATTTTATAAGGGAGGCAACCGAGCTCAGAGATGTTGAGCAATATCAATAGGGAATTCGATTTCAAACCTGGCTATGTTGGACTTCAGAACTGCTTTTAATGACAGTGACCAATGCATGGGGGAGCTCTGCCACCTTATAGGTATGTGTCCTCAGGGATGATCTTAGCTCTTCTTTGAGCCTCTGTTTCCTTTCCATGTATTCTTATTATAGGGATGGCACGGAGGAGGGTCAACTCCCCTGCATTTCCAGTTGGCTGAGAGTGGATGTCCAGGGGCTTCCGGAAGAGTTATTCCGAAACCTCATCCAGACTGAGCAGGAACACTGGGTTGATTAACAATGTCTGCCTCAGGCACCTGCCATAAAGCGAGAATGCTCGCTACAGATCTGTATCCAGTTTCATAAGGTTAATACTTTACCGATGGCCATGTATCAAGGCCCTGCTGTGTGCCAGACAAAATCCTTTATGTGAAAATTTCCGGGCAATTCTTCCAACACTGAACATTATGGGACTCTTTTCTTCATTTACCAGAAGAGGAAACTGAACCTCAGTGAAGGGGTAGGGATTTACACAAGGCTGGATAGCATGCAAATGGTGGATCAAGAATTCAAATCCGGAGCTTGGACGTCAGAGCCCACTTTACTACGAAAAAAAGCCAATAATAGTAAAAAATAACAGCAAAGTGAAACTGAGCTCCTACTCTACACCTAGCCCAGGCATCACTACCTTTAAGCCTACTCTGTTGGCTGAGTCTACCCATTCAATTCAACAAACATTTACTGGGTGCCACCATGTGCTGGCTTCTGGCTCCAACCTCCTCACTGTGTATCCTCTAACACTCACACTGCCTCTCTGGGCCTCGGTCCCTCCACTAAAGATATGGCACCGAGGCTCCCCACGCGCAAAGATGGATTCTGAATTCCCTTCTGGGCTCGGAAAACTAGAGTTCTGTGACTGGTTGGTGATATCTGCAACAGGAGAGCCCCCCCAAATAATTAGCAGTACACAAAACATTGTTTCAGGACACAGCAGGTTTCAGCTTTGGAACCCCTACTATGTGCCAGGCCCTGTGCAGGTGCAAAGGTTTCACTGACTTCCCACAACTACACTGAAAGCTGGAGATCATCTTCTCCATTTCTCAGGTAAAGAAACTGAGGGTCAGAGGGACCTGTGATTTGCCTGGGAGTGACCGGTGGCAGAGGTGGTGATGAAGTCTGACTACTGATCTGATTATCCCAGAGACTACAGAGCCACCCCAAATGTCCTCAACTTGGATGGGGTTAAAAGGTAATTGGGATCTTGAGGCCCAGCCTACTAATCTCCCCAGCACCCCATCTCCCTCCCATCTGTGCCAGAGCTTAGCAGGATCAGTGTCGCGTTTCCTCTGCAGCTCAGCCGGCTGAGCCGCTAATAGGGATCGGATTGGTGGAGACCACACCCGCCCGGCCCCAGCCCACAGCAAATGCGTGGCCTGGGATGACTCACGGATCACAGGGACCTTGGAGGGCTGTCCCAGGTCAGGAGTGGAGGGGTGAAGTCAGAGGGGAGGAGGGTAGACCCAAGACGGGGAGGCAGAGACCAACTGGGAGCAATGGAACCTTCCCTCCCAGTCTCTCCAGTTCTTCCTCTGGATCTCTCTCTCTTTCTATTTCTCTCTTCCTCTTTTCCCTGCTTCTCTGTCCTTCTCTCCCCTCTGAACCCATCTGTCTCCCCCTCCTTCTCTCTGCCACTCTTTCTTCAACTCTTTTGCACCATTGCACATACATGACATGGATTTTGCAGGGAACACACCAGAGGTCACTTGCTCTGTAGACCCTCCTGTGACTGACCCCTTTGGCCCCAGTCACAGTGATAGATGCCTGGGTACTGGCCACAATAGGGCATTGAGTGGCTATGCGTGGTCAGGCTAGGCTACCACGTGGTGCTAACTAGGCCTCCCCCTTCTGGGCCCTTCTCCCTCCATGTAGGGCCCTCACAGTCTCAATTTATCCCCTCACTTCCTCCCAGCCTGTCCCCATGGTGGACTTCTGCCTGAGTGTCCTCCAGGGGAGTAACCAGGCCTTCCAGGGCTTCAAGGCCCTTGTGTGACCTCTGACCACACCCTCGCCCCTTTGTGCATCAGTTTCCTTCTTTCAAATGAAGGAACAGATCAGAGGAATGGATGCTGGACTGCTGTGGGGGTTCTGAGGGTCGTCAGGAGGCTGCACTCACGTTCCTGCCCCTGGGTTAGCAGCCTGAGGCCCAGAGAGGGGAGGGAGCCTGCCTAAGGTCACACAGCAGGGAAGCATGGCCTCTCCGGCCTCCTTTCTCCAAGCCAGGTGGGCGGGTCCCAGGGTCCCACGCAGGGAGGGAGTGCTGAGCATCCCTCCACCCACTGCGCTCGCCACGACTCCAAGAGAGACACCACTCCAAGAAGAGGCCCAGAAAGAGACACGGTGCACAGAGGCACACACATACACACACACAGACCGGAAAGACAGTAAGTACAGAAGAAGGAGGCCTGGGCGCTGGGACCAGACAAAGGACGCGCGGCGGCGCGGGGAACGGAGTCGCGCGGCGGGGGCGGGGGTGGAGCCGGGGTGGGGCTAGGACTGGCCAGCCCCGCCCCCGGGATACGCCCGGGTTGCCGAGTGGAAATCCGAGGGCTCGGGCGAGGCCGGGCCCTGGGGGCCCCAGGGGGCGGGGTCCAGATGGGCGGGGCAGGGGCGTGGTTATACAGGGCGTGGCCGGGCGTGGCCGCGGGCTCGGGAGCTGACCAGCTCAGTGGTTGCTGAAAGCACCGGGAGTGGGGCGAGCGGCGCGGGCGGGCGGGCGCTCTCAAGGTCACCCCGAGGCCCAGAGCCTTGGCGGGGTGGGGCGCCTGGACCTGGCCTAGGAGACATCCCTGAGCTCCTTACCCCATCCCCCGTGGGGCGGGGGCCCAGGAGTCAGGAAGCACCCCCCCCCTCGCGGGCCCTCCTTTCCCCTCCCCCTCCCCGAAGCCTGAGGCGCCCGCGCGAGGCTACGGCCCGCTAAGAAGCTCCGAGAAACAAAGGGACGCGGCAGCAGCGGCGGCGGGCCCGCGGGGCCTCCGGGCGCGCCCCCTCCTCTCCCCTCCCCGCTTGCCGCAAGGTCGACGGGCTCGAGGACGAGACGCCCGGCTCCCCGGGCGCGGTCAGGGCCCGGGGAGCGGATCCGACGCCACCCGATTTCCCGGGGTTCTCGGGGACGGCTTGCCGCCTTGTCCTGGCCCAGCACCAGTGATGGGGGCCCTGCGTTTGCCTGGGCGGCCTGCGGGGTCCGGGCCTGGATGGAGAAGGCATCCTCCGCTGCTGCGGCCCCTCCCCCATCAGGCCTGCTGGAGGGGGGCTATCCCGCCCCCAGGGCGCCATAGGACGCCTCCCCGAACCAGAGTTCGGCTCCCTAAGGCCTCTCAGGCCAGACTCTATGCGCCCCCAGCACTCTGGGTGCGGCCCAACCCACTCTCAGGCCCCGAGGCTCGGTCCTACTCCCCCACCGGGGCCTAGCTAGGCCTGGTCCTACCCCCCCACCCCCCAACCCGCCATCTCCGCGGAACCTGTGCCTAACCGCTCCCCAACCAGTTTCCATCTCAGCGATAAGGGAATACCTACAGTGACCATTCTTGTGTGCCCGGCGGGCGCGGTCCGTGTTGAGGGCGGCTCCGGGGGTCGTGCACTCCTTGGGGGGCGCTCGATGCTCACGCCGGGGTCCTGCCCGGGCGGCCTCTGACGCGGCCGCTGCAGAGGTGTAGATGAAGGCGGCGGCTCCCTCGAGGGCCGGGGACGGGCCCGAGCCCGAGGACGCGCGCGCGGATAGCCGGGCCCCGGGGTGGCCTGCGGGCGGCAGGGGATGGAAAGAGGGAACGGGCGCGGGATTGAGAACGCCCCCTGCGCGGCCCCGCGGGGCCCGGGGAGGTTGAGCTTCCTGACAGAGATCGCGGCGCTCTGCCTTTCGCGGCCTCCCCCCGGCCGGGCTTGTCCGGTCGTGGATGCTCAGTCCTCTCCCCTCGCCCGCCCTCCCTCCCACCCTCCAGCCCGCGCTGCGCGCTCCGCGCTCTGGGCCGCGACGCCGCCGCCCCCAGCCCTTTATAGGAGCAGCTGCCAGAGCCGGCGTCGCTTATTGGCTGCGGCAGCTGAGCCCCGCCTCCTCCCGGCGCCCGACGGCGCGGCAGGTGGAAGCGAGCACGCGCTGGCTGGGACTCCGCACCCCCAGAAAGCACGCCCTGGGGGCTCGGGTTGTCAGATTCGGGCCCCCTTCCCCCCGTGGACCCTGCTTCCTGCATTGCCGCCCCTTCTTGGGCGGGCTTTCTGCCGGAAAGACAGGGACGGCTCCCCTCCTGGGTCCAACACCCTGAGCTCTTAGAGCGAAGAGAGCGAGGAGATATCGGTGGCCTTCCGGAGTTGTTGACCACCAAGAAAACTGGAAAGGGACGAGGAACCAAGATTTCTATAAGCAGAGACCCAGGTCCCCAGATTTGGGGGCAGCAGGTGTAGCCTCCCAAGACCAATGGAGAAAGGTGGGGGTGGCAGGGCCTCTCGTCTGCCTGCAGAAGGAACTGGGACCGTGCGGCTTTTGAGTGGGCTAGGTTCAAAAGGTTCGTTAGAAAGGTGGGGACTGGCACCCCACAGTGCAAGCGCACTCAGCACTTATCCAAGGCGGGGGGTGAAGAAGTTTGGGGCTTAGAATTCCAGGCCAAACCCACTGGCGCCCTGCTGTTCCGGGAAACCACCGGGCCTTCTCAGACGCCATAAATTTTGGGTGGGTGGATCTGTTGTATAAATGTCCTGGCTTTCCAGGCTCGGGATTGGCCTGCCTGTGGAGTCACGCTTCTTCTCAGCTAGGGGGAATCTGGCTTCTCTCTTAGGCAATAGCGGTTGGTGCAGCCTCCTTTGGTGCGCGAGCTCAAGGGCACGTTTACGTCGGGACCGCTATCAGGCGGGAGGAAATGTTCTCACTAGGGCAGGGTCGCTTTCGACTGAGACTTCAGCACCACAGACAGCGGCCCGACGGTCTGGCCGAGGGCGCTGCAGGCTGGGTAGCACCGGGCCCTTCGTCCGGGAGTCGCAGCCTCCACCGTATCCTCGTCCCTGTACGCCCTTTTAGGTTCCAGACTGTCCGAGAATGCCATCAAACAGAGTGAGGAGAGCCTTATTTGACCAATCAGAGACTGCCCTCGAGAGAACCAATTGCGGGAGGATGCCCTCGAGATTGAGCCAATGAGAGAGCGCGCAGCAGATAGCGCTGCCACGCTGATGGAGAGAACAGGCCAATCACAGTGGCCCGCGCAATCAGGGCGGTGGCGTTGTAGGTCCCCGGGTGGCCCCTCTTGGGTTTGCCGGGGCGACCTGGCTGTCGAACCTAGAGACCCCGAGCGAGGGCTTCTTCCCCACCCCGTGTTCCTCCCGGCTCCTATCGGATTGCAAATTGTGCCTGTGCCGGGAGGGGAGCGCCTCCTGGGCGCGCAGACCCGGATGCGGTTTCCATGGAAACTGCTGGCTCTGGATGTGCGGGGATAGAGAAGGGGACTGAGCCCTGGGAGATTTAGGGAGCTCGCGTGGGTGGCCCCAGCGGCCGGACTTGCTCATCCTCGCCGACATGTCCGTCCCTGGTTGGGACAACCCCTGGTCCAAAGTGTAAAATGAAGCCTAGCTGCGGCCCCGCCCCCACGAGCTGGTGAGGAGCTAAGGGGCCAATCTGCGCGTGGCGCCACAGGGCTCCCTCGGGCACGTGCCCAGGCTCGCGGCTGCGGTCCCCAGGGTCACGTGGCTGCAGCCACCAGGGCCCACGCAGCTTGCGCGCCACCTGGCGGCCGACGGCCTTGTATCGCTCCCCGCCTCTCTTGCTGGCGGCCGGCAGGAGGCGGCGGCGACCTCAGCATCCTCCTCCGGGAAATGGGGCCAGGGCAGCCGCCCCATCGCTGCCAACTCCCCTCCCCACCGCGGCTTCCTGTTCCAGGAACACGCCGAGCCGTTCTACCTCTGGGCTTTGGCACTGGCTGTTCCTTCGGCCTGGGATTTGCCTCCTCCAGCTTTCTTCAGGGACGGAACCTCTTTGTCATTCTGGTCTATGTTCAAATGCCACCATCTCAGAGAGGACCTCCTTGACCACCGATTTAAACAGCCAGAAACTAACATCACTCTATTTCCTGCACGGGGCCTGTCACAGCTGTAAATGTCTTACTTAGGGCTCTACTGAACATCTCCCCAACCGGTCCCTGAGCTCTCTAACGGTGGGGAATGCGTGTTCTGTGAGGGATTTGGGAGCGGGCATCAGGATCCTGAGTCTTGGGAGATGTCCAGTGGCCTTCCAGGCTCCCAACCTCCCAACCCTGGGCCTGCGGCAAGGGAGTGTTCGGAGCTGCCAGGCCCAGATAGCTGAGGCAGCGCAGAGGCTGTGAGGGAAAGGGCAGTGTCCGGCATGTAGGGACACCACCGCCTGCCTTGACCTTGATCAGGAAGGGACCAGGATGGAGACAAAGAGGGGCCCGGCCCCCCAAATCATCCAGGCCTAGGGGGAGGGCGTCTCCTTTCTCACTCTTTAATCTCGCTCTGCTCTCTTGACACAGTTCTAGCAGTGCGGCCCCAGGCGCCACCTCCAGAGATAGGGCGGGGTTGGGGGGGACCAGCCCCGGGGGAGGGGGGCCCAGCCCTGGGGCAGGGCAGGGGCGCCTCCTTCCGGCCCGCGGTCCGGGAGGCCCCCGCGGCTGTCCGGGCCCCGGCAAGCCCGGGCGTCGTGTCCGAGCGGATGAATAAATAGGGGCGGTCAGTGGTTGGATGGGTCAGGCTGGCTTGTGGTCCGGGTGGCTTTTGAGCGTGTGGAACTTGACGCTGTCCAGCTTCTCGAAGCGCTTCCCACAGCGCTCGCACGTGAAGTTGTACTGCACCTCGGCCGTGTGCTTCTTCATGTGCCAGTTGAGCGACGCGCGCTGTCGGCACTGGTAGCCACAGATCTCGCACCTGCCGGGAGCCGGCGGGCGACACCAGGGGCGGGGTCAGACTGGGGTGGGGCCGCATTGGGGGCGGGGCCCAAGCTACGAGGACCCAGCCGCCCCTCCCCCCCGCCCCGGAACCCGAGGGGTGGACCCGCCCTCTGCCGGTCCAGGCCCAGCCACCCTCCCTCTCAGCCCCCCCCCCCGCCCCCAGGCCCGCGGGGAAGCCTGTCACTCACTGCAGGGGCGTCTCGCCGGTGTGCGTGCGTCGGTGTACCTCCAGATGGTTCTTCCTCTTGAAGGACTTGCCGCAGGTTTCGCAGGTAAATTCACGGACACCTGGGGGAGATGCGGGGCTGAGCACGCCGCCGTCGGGGGCGGGGGCTGTGGGACGTCTACCCCGCGGTCTCCCGGACCTCCGGGCGCAGGGACACCAGGTCCCGCAGCCTCTGGGAGCCACTGCTGACTATAATAACGAGGGCGGTTAATACCGAGGGCAGCTCACAGCCCCGTATGAGGCTCAGAGGCTGCCCGGGAAGGCGCTGGGGCAGAGCTGATATGTGAGCTCGGCTCCCCGGGAAGCACGGAGTACAAACTGTCAAGCCAAAGTGGGTCTGAATTTGACCCCAGTATTTCAACTTCGGGGCGATTTCACATAAGAATCCAAGGTTCCCGCCACTTGAAATATCTGAAGCCGTGCCCTCCCGCGGGACACAGCTCCACAGCTACCCACTGAGTCAGCAGCCCTGGGTGGCAGTCCAGGGCGCGGGGGCAGTCCTATGCCTGTGGACCCAGTGCTCCCTGGGGGTTTTCAGCCCGCCTGCCCCCGCCCTAGATCCAAGGCCCATGACCCTATGCCCCGCGCTGCCAGCCCCACCCTGGGCCTGACCTGAATGGATGATCATGTGCCGCCGCAGGTGGTTGGATAAATAGAACTTCTTGCCGCAGCCAGGGTGTGGACACACTTTGGTCTTCCCTTTCCGATGCACAAGATTGACATGGTTCTGTAGGCAAGAGGGGCAGGCGTGGGGGAGTGGGACTGTGGGTGTCATGGGCCCACCTCCAGGGCTCTCCACAGTGGGGACAGATAAGGGTAGCTGGGAGGCAGGCTGGGGCCAGCCTTTCTGGAGGAAGGAAGCAGGGTGTCCGTGCCCATGCCCTTGCCCTTGCGAGGGCCTCCCAGCTCCGAGCAAAGGCCCAGGGGCACAACTGGGATCAACCGCAGCTTTCCTGTGCACCCACGCCAGCCAGGGCCTGGGCTGGGGCATCAGTCAGCCTTGTCATAACCTTGTGGTGGGGCCTTGCTATTGGCCGTTTATGGATCGGGAGATGAGGCTCCAGAGGCTTAGGGTTTGGCCCATGTCTCACGGGTGGGCAGTGGCAGGGCTGGCCTGGATTCCAGGGCTCCAAGTCCCACAGCAGGCTTTGCCATGGAGCTGTGCTGCCCCCTCGGTCTGGAGCAGGCAGCCCCTCAGTCATTCCTTTGTGCTTTTAGTCTTTAACTCACCAGCACACCTGTAGCTCCAGGGCCCAGCACTAGGCCTGGCACCCGAAAGGTGCTCAACACACGCTGGAAAATGAGACTCGGCAAATTCAAAGGCCTACCGGTGCCGCCTCCTGCCACAGGTGGGAAGGTGACAGGACCCTGTCTCTGCCCTTGGGGCATCCCATCCAGGCTCCAGAGGACACACTACAGGGATGTCGGGGTGGTGCAGTAACCCGGGGCTCGCAGGCCCCACCAGCCCTGGGGAACTAGGGTGGGCTTCCTGGTGGAGGGGCATCCCGAGCCGAGCCTGGAGAAGAGGCATCTGGAGCCAAGAAGGTGGCCGGGGCAAAAAGCAGGCTGAGTTCAGGCCGACTGAGAAGGCAGGACAAGGGCACTGGAGAGCTGGAAGGGGAGGCAGCGCGAGGTGACGCCTGGTGTCCTGCGGCCGAGGCAGGGTCGGTGAGAAGCTACTGAGAGGTGGGCGTGTGGGAGGCAGGCCAGTGGCACCCAGTGGGGCCAAGTGGGGCCCTCCGTGAGCTGCACTGCGCAGAGGCCAGCACACAGGCGGCAGGAAACGGACGCAGGCCCCGCTCAGGCTGCTTGGGTGGTGGCCTCACCTGGAAACTGCTGAGGGCCACATAGACCTGGCTGCAGCCCTCGTAGGGGCAGTGGAACATCTCTAGCAGGCCATCGGCATCCGTCACCCGAGTCCGCTTGCTCCGCCGCCTCCTGGAGGGGAAGGGGCCCATGGCGTCGGGGCTCTCACACCAGGCCGGCTGTGGGCCCGTGGGCTGCTCCTTGTCCCAGCCCCCCCGGCTGCCCAGGCACCCACTTCTCGGGCTCCTTGGGGATCTCGTAGATGATGGCTGACATGTCACTGCCGTCCAGCTCCTCCCCGTCCGCCTCTGCTTCGGGCTCTGTGCTCTTGGGCCCTGTCGCTGCCAGCTCTGCCAGCTCTGGGGCCACGGGCTCCTCCTTCTCCTCCTTCTTAAGCAGGTACAGGTCCTCCTTCTCTACGGGGGTAGACACAGGGCGGGTGTCCGCAGGGGGACTCGTGTGGTTGAGGAGCTGGCTCCGGGGCCACCCTTCCACCCTCCCTCCTCCTCCCAGGTCCCGCCCCAACCCCTGCCAGCGACCACAGCAGCCCCCCCACCCCCCACACCTTTCTTGGTCTCGATGCCGGCCATGGCGGCGGGGTCCAGGGTGCTGGGCTGGCCGCCCTCGGGCTCCGTCTGGGTGTAGGCCGCTACACCCTCCATCATGGCGCAGGGCACCTCGTCCCCCAGGCCCCCAGCGGGGCCACCGCTGCCTGCTGCCACGTTGAGGTGGATGCCCTCGGCCGTGAGGGCATCGTAGCCGGGGCCGGCGATGATGATCACCTGCGAGCCAGGCACCATGCCCGGCATGGGACAGCTGGCCACCACCTCGCCCAGCGCCTCCTGGGGCATGTTCTCAAAGAGGGTGCTGGGGCCCGGGCCCACTTGCACGGGCATTGGCACGCACACCACCGTCTCCAGGGCCTCAGGCCCGCTGCCTGCCGGGTTGGGGCACAGTGGGGTGCCCTGCTCAGGCAGGCTCTCCATGTGGTGGACGTCGAAGGGGATGTGCATGCCCTCCTGCGTGATGAGCCCGCTGCTGCCCGCCGGGCTGCTGGGGGTAACCGCTGCCGCCGCTCCCTTGGCCGGCTGGCCCTCAGGGGGCTCCTCGGAGTCAGAGCCCGAGCCGGCGCTGGAAGAGTCGGAGCTGCCAGCCGCCAGGCCATTGCCCACTGCGGTGACAGAGGAAAGGGGACAGTCACAATAGCAACAGTGGCGGCAACGGTATCTGTCGAGGGCTCACGGGGGGCTGGGCACGGTAACCCCCTCAGTGCCACAAACATCGGTCATTTCTCGGTCCCCCTTGTGCCCCGACCACCCCTGCTCCTCAAGACGCTCTCCTCCCTCAGCTTCCAGACCCGAATTCTGCCTTTCTGGGCCCTCTCTGAGGGCCCCTTCTTAGCCTCGTTAGCCTTTACAGGTCTGGAAGGTTCTAGCCAGGGCTCTCAGTGCTCCACTCACCCCAGGGCCTCAGCTAGCCTGATGGTGGTAAATACAGCCCTCACTCTTGACACTAACTGGGTGTCTGACAAGTCAATTCAGATGCCATGGGGTAAGGGCTCAGGTCCCACAAGACTGCCTGCCCCCAACTTGGACACCGGCTACAAGACCCTGGCCGTTGTAATTCTGGTTATAAATTGTGGGTTTCTACGACGCTCTCTTCAGGTTTGATAATTTGCTAGAACAACTCGCAGAACTCAGGAGAGTGCTTTACTGATGACTACAGTTTTATCACAAAAGATGCAACTCAGGGGTGCCTGGGTGGCTCAGATGGTTAAGCATCTGCCTTCGGCTCAGGTCATGATCCCAGGGTCCTGGGATCGAGTCCCGCATCGGGCTCCCCGCTCAGCGGGGAGCCTGCCTCTCTCTCTCTCTGTCTCTTATGAATAAATAAATAAATAAATCTTTAAAAAAAAAACAAAAGATGCAACTCAGCGATAGTCAGATGGAAGACGTGCCCAGGGCAAGGTGTGGGGGCTGGGGCGGGAGCTGTCACGCCCGCTCCAGACGCGCCACCCTCCTAGCACCTCGAGGTGTTCACCAAGCCGCAAGCTCTCTGGACCTCCTTATTTAGAGAGTTTTTGCAACCCAGTCTCCAGCCCCAGTCTGCTCCTTGGGGGTCAGGGATGGGGTTGAGAGATTCCCCCATCTAATCATGTGTCTGGTCTTTGGTGACCAGCCCCCATCCTGAAGCTATCTAGGGGACCCTGCCTGAGTCACCCCGAATAGCACAGACTCGGGTGTGTTCCAAAGGGGCCCCTTATGAAAAGGGCGCATGATGAACAATGAAGAACATTCCCATCACTCAGGAAATTCCAAGGATTTTAGGAGCTCTGTGCCAGGAACCAGGGACAAAGACTGACTATTGGTTTTTATTATCCTGCCACCACCCATACTCCGATGCCTCTGTAGGGACAGCTCCCGCCTGGACCTCCTGTGGGCCTGGGGCTCTTACCTCCCACTGACTTCTCTGCTGCCCCCAGGGCGGGTCTCACAGGCACCTCAGAATCTGCTCAGCAATTCTGGGCTCTCAATCTTCCCTAAGAAAAAGCCCATACCCTCCCCAGACATCCCCGTCTCCGGGGATGATGGCAGCTCTGTCCTTCCAGTTGCTCAGGCCAAACAAAGTCCTAGGGCTGCCCCTGACTTCTCTTTCTCTCATACCCACTTCCAGTCTGTCAGCAAAACCCACTGGCACTACATCCACGTATTTAGGGATAGTGGGCGGGTTCCTGCCTCAGGGCCTTTGCATTTGCTGTTTGCTCTGCCTCAACACTCTTCTCTCAGATACCCACAGGGGCTCCCTCCCTCGTCTCCATCAGACCCTTTCCTAAAATGCTATTTATTCAGGGAAGCCTCTGACCACCTTATCTCAAATCGCATTCTTTTCTCTCCTTAATTTTCCTCCAAAATACTACCTTCCACTGTACTCTAGATACTGTTTATCCTGTTTCCTCTCTGCTTCCCCTCTAGATCATAATCTCCACAAGGATGGGGGACCCTGTGCACAGGTCCCAGTGCCCAGAAGGCCGCCTGGCACCCACTGAGCACACAGTTCTAAAGACAAATGAATCTCAGCCCAACGTTGTGATGAAAGTCAAGGAGACCAACATTTTGCCCAGGTATTTCGTGCTAAAGTCTACACACATAGGGAGAAATGGGGGACAGAAAAATCAAGAACTGACCCTCAGTTACACACTCATGACAGAGTTGGGGCGCACTGTCTGGGGACCATGTGTCTACCCTCCCATAAGGTCACATGGAGCACGCAGGCTCTGGAGCCAGACTTCGGGGTGGGATCTCGGTGCTCCCCGCTCCAGCTGTGTGAATGGGCGGGCCTTAAGTAACTTCTCTGGGCCTGGGGATAAATTGGCACCTACCCCAGGGGGTGTTTGGGATAATGAGGAAATCTATGTAAAGCGCCTCAGACAGTACCAGGCTCTGAGTAAGCACCCTATCAATGTTTTCTATGATCATTCTTATCATAATGCCCCATCCCTGACTCAATGCCCCCAGACAGCAGCAGGAGTGGGGTAGGGGGATCGGCCCCTCCTTGTAACACCCTGTAATCTGCAGGGTGAGCTGAGTCCCTGGGCTCCACCCTGAAGCAGGGGGCAGTCACCTAGTGAGTTGGGGGCATGGCCTGGGTGTGCGCCTGCCTCCCCAGCTGCAGCGTCTAGCTGTGAAGGCCAGACTGCGCTTCTTTCCAGGTGATCATAACATTAATCGCAGAAATGGCTGCGCATCCCCTGGCCTCTCACAGTCCCGGCAGGAGGTGCTCCTACTTAGTGAGAAGCAGCCCGGGCCACCCCAGGCAGAGAGCTGGTAAGGGAGCTGCTGAGGGAACAGGGCTGGGCTAGGGACACAGCCCCTCCCCGCTCCCTACAGCCACAGGCGACCCGCCAGCCCGTCATCTCAGCATTCATTCCTGAGAGCCAGATCGGGCAGCCACTGGTGTCAAAGTTGGGTGGGGGTGCGGACCCGTCACCAAAGGGGTCAGTCACAATTAGTTTCCTCCACTGCCAAGTGGGGCTAATGAAGAGCTGTAGGGTGGTTGGGTGGGGGTGCACCTGGAGCGGGGAGAGGACTGCCGAGGGGCCGGCTGCATGCTGGGATCTGGCTGGCGCACAGGGGACAGCCGTTGGCCAGGGGGCCCACCTGGAACACCTCTCGCCCACGGCTTCCCCTTGGCCAGCTGGGATGCCACCTGCTCTGAGGCCCCTGCCAGCGCGCACTCAGCCCTGGCGACTGACCTCACCCTCCGCCCTGGCAGGGCACCTGGCGGTGGGCCCTGGGCTCCTTCTCGCAGCTGAAGCTGAGCCCCTGAGGCTGGCAGGCAGGTGGGCAGCCCCTCGCCACCCACAGCGTCTCCTCTGCCCGCCCCCCCAACCAGGGCCAACTGGGCCTCGGTAATGGAGTCCCTCCCAGTCCTGCTGCGTGCTCACGACACGTGACCCACATGGGCCGGCAGAGGGGGGGCAGGGGCAGTGGGGGGAGAGACTGATGGGGGGAAGGGAGTGGGGGTGTGGGGGAGACAGGGAGAGACTGGGGGAGACAGGGAGAAGGCAGGAGACAGAAGGGAGAGGAAGAAACAGAAGAGTGAGAGAGGGAGGGGGAACGAGAGCTCAAGAACAGAGAATGGGGAGGAAGGAGGAGACCCGGGCAGAGAGGGCAAGAGGATGAGGCTGGGAGAGAGCCCAGAACGGAAAGGGAAAGGGCCAGGGAAAACAGAGGAGGAGGTAGAGGCCCGGAGAGCAGCCCAGCCTGAGGAGGCCCAGCACCCACCCCTCCCTCCAGCCGCTGAGCCAGGTTTCCCGACCCCCAGCCCAGTTGGCCTCGGGCACAGCTGTCCCTCTGGAAAATGGGGGCTGCCGCCTCTCAGCTCCAGGACTTGGAAGACTGCAGCTCAGCCTGCCGGGTCTGGGCGCCATCCCGGAGGCCAGCGCCAGCCTCCTTGCTCTGATGTTTCCAGTGCTGGCCCGAGGCCGACAAGACCCATGAGGGCAGGGAGTCCAGGGCGGCCCAGCCCATGAGGAGCCGTAGAGCCCTCAGCCCTCGGACCCACCTTTGTCGCTGTCGGGGTCTGAATCGCTGAGGGGCTTCAGGGGCGAGTGCAGGTCTTGGAAGTAGCGGTGGCCGGCCTCGCACTGCCACACGGCCGTGGTGTACAGACCGAAGGTGGGGTCCAGCTCAGCCAGGCGCGGCTCGTACGGGCAGCGGTGCTTGTGGTCCTCGTACCAGATGACCACATTCTTCAGGCAGTTCACGTTGCGCCGCCTCCCTACACACACAGGGCGGGGTCCGGAGTCAGGGGTAGTGCTCGCTCCCCAGGGCCCCAGGACGCCCCAGGCAGTGAGACACCTTCCTGCACCCTGTCCAGGCCCGTCCCCAGTTTGCAGATGAAGAAACAGGCTCTGAGAGGTGAGGCCCACGCTGGTGATAACGGACACCGGCCAGACTGTCCTCAATGAATAAGTTAAACCACATAAACTATGGAGCCTGGCACATGATAGGTGTGCAGTGGTTAGTAGCTGCTTGTTGTTAATGGACTCATCCTCATCAACATCTCAACGTCTCTGGCCTGGACCAGCTGAGTCCCCTCTGCCCTGGTCTCTCTGCTCCCACATTTGTCCCACTACAGTCTACTCGGCCTACAGCCAACAGACGGGGCCTGCTGCAAACACTTGAGTCAGGCCATGCCCCGCCTCTGCCCAGAATCCACCAGGGCTCCCACCTGGCTGGTGGTAAAAGCCAAAGTCCTTCCCAGAGCCACCAGGCCCTGCATGTTCTGCCCCATCACCAGCCCTTCTCCTTGATCACTTCATCCCAGCCTCATGGCCTCCTCCCTGTTCCTGAAATGAGCAGAGTATGGCCCTGCCTCAGGGCCTTTGCACAGACTGTGTCTCCTTCCAGATGACTACCGTGCCCTTCCCCCTTCACTCAGGTCTTTCCCTCAGTCTGCCACCCCCTCCCCACTGTCCTTCTAGCCGACCTGACTTGCTGTTCTTTCTCTCCAGGTAGCACCTAGATACCATTTGTGGTTATCTCTGTCCGTGTTTCTGTCTTCCCTACTACAATGCCAGCTCCCCAAGGGCAGGGACCCCTGTTTGCTGCTCCTCTTGTATCCCCAGTGCCTACACAGGGCCTGGCACATAGTACGCTTGCTGGATGAGTAGATGCTTTAAGGAGGTGGGCCCAGTGGAGCCAGCCTGTGGGATTCAAATCCCAACTGCCACTTTGTAGCTGGGTGGCTCCAGGCAAGTGACTTGGCTTCTCTGAACCTCTTCTGGGCCAGGGGAAAATGACAGTCCCCGTTCCTTGAGGGCTGCCAGAGAGGAGGGAGGGAAGACATTGACAGGGCACAGAACAGGGCTGGATACACTTTGAATGCCCAAGAAATGGAACCTGCCATATGTCTAATGATGCTGGTCCTGCAGCCAAGGGGGAGGAAACTGTCCTCCCGATCTTCCAGGCTGGGAGATGAGGAGGGTGCCCAGAAGGGTCTTGGGCCTAGGGATGTTGTCTGGAGCCTCCAACCCGGTGACGACCGTGGAGACAACAGGGACCCCACCCCTAGCCGCCCCTCCAGTCTGGCACTTGCCTCCTTATTTCCCTCCTCATCCCTTTGGGATTTGGAGGTCACAGACTTAGCTCGGCCCTTGCCTTTGACAACTGTGAGAAGGGGTGGGACTCGCCGCCACCAGACGGCTGTTCCTGGGCCAGTGGCCCTCACCCTGCTGGACAAGGCCCGAGACTCACAGTGCCAGGGCTCAGAGGTTCACGGCCGAGGGGTGGGAGGGACGCACTGCAGGCCTCCACTCCGACTGCTCCCCTCAGCTGTTCCCTCTGCCCTGTCAGCTCTCCCCTGGGTGACTCCCCTGCACCAGGCAGGACAGTGCAGGAGCTAAGGGGACTGCTCGGTGACATGGGTTTGTGGTCTGGCCTGGCCCCTTGCCAGCTTGCGGCGTGCGGTGGTGACTTGGCCTTTTATGTGTGAGATGGGGGTGGTGGGGGCACCCCCACTGGGCACAGCACAGGTGCCAGTCCCCTTTCTGCCCCCGCCCCCAGGCCCAGCTGGGTCAGACCCTTCCTCTGGGCCCCCACTCCCCTGCCACGGCCCTGCTGGGCCTGTCCCGTCTTCCCCTGAGACCATGGGCTCTGTGAGGGCAGGGCTGGATCTGTGCAGGTCCACACAGCCCCGGCCCGTGCAGGCCCTCCACAAATGGGGCCTGAGGATGAGTGAGGGAACGAACAGCAAAGCCACTTACTCCCAACACCCATCCCCTCCCCGCTGGCTGTAGCCCCACTTACTTTTCTTCCGCTTTGGCTTTTTGGGGACCTGCTCCCAAGGCTTCCTGTAACACAGAGAGGCAGGGGGAGTGAACACAGGGCCTGCTGATGCTGAGCTAGTGACAGCACGCTGCTGCAAGGCCTAACTGTAGCTGCTGTTCTATTTCCCAGGGGACTCTCTCCTCCACTGACACCAGCCCTGGGACCGTGGTCTAGCATCACCGCCCGTTTCACCAAGTGGGAAAATGAGGCTGAGGAGTGAGGCTGCCTGCCCAGGGGCCTGTGGCCAGGGAGTGGAGAACTCAGAAAAGGGGTAACAGAAAGTCAGTGTGGCAGGCAGAATTCTACACTGGCCCCACGATTCCCAACCCCGGGTCACACGCCCTCTATAATCCTCTCCCCATGAGTGGGGCGGCCTGAGAATATGATGGGATACCACGCCTGTGCCTAGGTGACTTGAATGAATCAGGAGGGAGCTTTCCAAGGTGGGCCTGGCCTAATCAGGGGAGCCCATAAGGCCGAGGATATGAGAGGCTTATGAGGGGACAGGACCTGAGAACGGCCTCTGGGAGCTGAGAGCAATCCCAGTTGACAGCCTCAAGGCTGTGGGGACCTCAGCTGTACAACCCAGGAGGGAATGAATTCTGCCAACGCTCCGAGGGAGTCTGGAAGCAGCTCCTTCCCTAGTCGAGCCTCCAGATGAAGACGCAGCCAGCTGAAACCCTTGTTTCAGCCCTGTGTGACCTTAAGCAGAAGACCCTGCCCCTGCCCCTACCTGCCTGCTCTATGTGGGCCCCAGCCCAAGGTGCTGCCCCTCCATCAGTCCTGCCCCTGCAGCCAGCTCGGGTCCACGTGCCCTGGCCATCATGCCCACCTGCCTCTGGGGCCTTCCCCACTTTGGCTGGAGCCCAACATTCTGACTGTGTGCCCCTGTGGCAAGGCCTCAGGGTGCCCAGGGCAAGGCTGGGCCCAAACACTGGGGCCCCCCAAGGCTTCCCAAACCCGGATGGCCACCAGAACTGCCAGGTGGGATCCTGACCCCATACAGGCCGCTCAGCTGTGACCAGTACTGACTGTACACGTGCTGAGGGCAGGTGCTTTGGAGTCACCTCTCCTGCACCCACTAGGGGCCTCCCTCTGCCTTCCTGATGCCATGCTTCTGGGTCTGCCTGCCCGCTCTGGCTGCTTCCTCATGCTTTTTTTTTTTTTTTTTTAATTTATTTATTTAAGTAATCTCTACACCCAGGGTACCTGGGTGGCTCAGTTGGTTAAGCATCTGACTCTTGATTTTGTCTCCAGTTTCAGGATTGTGAAATCAAGCCCTGAGTCGGGATCTGCACTCAGCGGGGAGTCTGCTTGAGATTCTCTTTCCTCTCCCTCTGCCCCTCCCCCCACTCGCACTCTCTTTCTCTCTCTCCCTCAAATAAATAGATAAATCTTAAAAAAAAAAAAAAAAAATCTCTACACCCAATGTGGGGCTTGAACTCATGACCCCAAGATGAAGAGCTGCATGCTCTTCTGAGTGAGCCAGCCAAGTGCCCCTCATCCTTCCTTTTCTACACTGCAGCAGAAGGCCCTGAGACTCTGGATGACCTTGACTCCCCATGCCTCAGTTCCCCATCTGTAGCATGGGATCATAACCATGCTTCCTTGTGGGACTGCTGCATAACCTTGAGGTTATGTGCATTGAAAGAGCTTGGTATGGCCCCTGGCACTTAGTAACCACTCAGCAAGTGGTAGATATGATCACTGTGATTATCAATGTTCTCACAGAGCCTGGCCCTGGAACCCTAGCCCCCCTGCTATGGCCCAGACCATGCTCTCACCACAAATTATCCAGAGGCAGTCCAGGTGTCTTGTCAGCTTCACCATCTACTCCACCTGACCCGTCCAGCCTGATAACAATTCACAGCCCCCACACCCCACGTCTGGTCCCAGGACAGCTCCCCCAGGTTCCTCTGCCTCTCCTGCCCCTGGCTCACCCCCTGTCCAGGTCTCTGCCCCCCCACCTCATTCCAGATGCCTCCATCCCCTCCCACGGCTCTCCCCTCCCCTCCAAGGGGGCAGGCTGGCTGCCCAGATCCTCGTCCAAATGCCCATGGCCACCTCTGCGCACTCACAGTGTTGCCATGACTGGGGTACTGGGAACACTACTTAGTGTTTGGTGCCAGTCAGATCCGAGTTCAAGTCTCCTCTGTACCACTGACTACCTGTGTGACCTCAAGCAGGTCTCGTCCCCTCTGAGCCTCAATGTCCTCATCTGGTAAGTGGGGAAAACAGTGCCCCCCACACAGCATCACTGTGGCGATTGAATGAGGCCAGACCTCAAACTGCCTTCCCTCCCCTTGCCCATTTCTCTGAGTTCCACCCCTTACACGTCGCCGTTTGAGGACAGCAGCTGCTGGGGCTTCTCTGCGGCTCGGCTTTCCTCGCAGTGGCCAGCCCCCAAACGGTGCCCAGCAGCTCTCCTTCGCTCTCCTCTGCCATTTGCTTTCAAGCTCAACTCCATCATCCCCTCCAACTGACCAACACACCATCAGTTCTTCTACCCTGGGTTTAAATAATCTGGAGCCCCTTCCCTGCCAACTCCCACCCATTCCTCTGCCCCCCCCCCTTTGAGCCATCTATATGCGTGTGCAGTCTTCCTGTCTTCTCCTCTGTCTCCCTTGAGGCCCTCAAGTCAGGGTTTTCTCTAGTATGCCACACACTGCCCCGTTCTGGGCCCCGGGGGTGGCCGCCTCACTCAGCCCAGCAGTGTTCATTGGCAGACCCTTCCCTTGGCCTCCAGGACGCCGCCCCGGCGGGTTCTCCACCAGCCTCCCGGCTGCTGCTGCTGCTTCATCTCCCTGACTCCTCTAAGCACAGACAGCGAGCGCCGGGCTCAGACCTGTGTGTCTACCCACGCCCCCCTGGCAACTTCCGGCACCATACCATCACTGGCCTGGTGACCCCCAAATCCGGGTCTCCCACCTGGCCCTCTCCTGACCACGCCTCCCCAACACTACATGTAGGGGTCTCGCAGACATCTCACACTTGAGTTGTCATATTGCCCCTTGACCTGTCCCTTCTCTGTTAACGGCACCTGCAACTTTCCAGGTGCTCAGGTCCAAACCTGGGGGCGTTTCTCATATCCATACCGATCAGCAAACCCTGTTGGCCCTAATTTGAACCACTTCTCCCCACTTCTGCACGGCCCCGCCTCACTCACCTGGACCAGTGCAGTCAGCTCCTTCCTGGTCTGCCATCTCTGGCCCTCCCCTCCCACAGCCTCAACATCGGAGTCCGTGTGCTTCTTTTCATTTTCTTGTTAACTTTTTAAGATGTAAAAAGAAAAATTCAAACACATACAAAGCTAGAGAGAAGAGTGAACCTCCTGGAGACCATCACCAGCATAAAAGACTGCCAACTCTTAGCCAACCTTGTTTCAGTGCATCCCCTGCCCAATCCTCCTGCCACACACACCCTGGAGAGTGCTTCTGTTAAAATATAAGCCAGGTATGGGACCTCTCTGTCCAAAATTCTGTACTTTAAAAAAGCAAAACAAAACAAAACCCAAAAGACCCTATCAGGCCTCCCATTTCACTGGGAGAAAAAAACAGAGCCCTCCATGCAGTCCACAAGGCCCTGTCACCTTCCTGTCCTTGCCTTTTCCCACTCTTCATCCTCATTGCGGTCCAGCCACATGGGTCTCCTCGCTACCCCATGTTCACACCAGGCTGGGTCCTGCCTCAGGGCCTTTGCTCCTGCCATTCCTTCTTCCTCAAACATTCTTCCCCCAGATATCTGCAGGGCTCTCCCTGGCCTCCTTCAGGTCTGTACCCCAGATGCTATCCTCACTGTGGCCCACCCTAACACCCTACCTAAACCTCCAGCACCCCCTCCTGATTCCTCTTTCCCTATCTCACTTTTTTTCTTTACATAGCCCCTATCAATCTCTCACACACTACATAATTTATTCATTATGGTAAATAATAGTAAATGTATAGTAATGCAGTAGACAAGCCTTTGCACAGTGGACAAGTCTCTGCCCTCTAAATGGCATCTCCATAAAGCATTTTGTCGTTCACTGCTGCACCATCAGCACGTATACGAGTGCCCAGCACATAAAAGGTGCTGATTAAGCGCTCCTTAAACAAATGGACACTGGAGACTCCACTATTGACCACTGTTTCCCTTTTCCCACTGGCTGCTAGGATGGCTCTGAGGCAAATTCATGGCCCATTCTCCATTCCCACTTCTTCATGTCTTTTGAACCCCTCTGGTCAGGTTTTTAACTCACCATGCCACAAAACTGCCCTTGTCATGTCCCCTGTGACTTATGCCTTAATCTAATAGCACCGATCCTGGCCCCGCTGTGCCCCTCCTTTTCCTTTCTCTTTGCTTTTTTTTTTTTTTTAATTTTATTTTATTTATTTATTTGAGAGAGAGAGCACACAAGTGGTGGGGAGGGGCAGAGGCAGAGGGAGAAGGAGACTCCCTGCGAAGCGGAGAGCTCGACGTGGGCATGATCCCGGGACCCCGAGATGAAAACCGGAGCCAAAGACAGATGCCCAACTTACTGAGCCACCCAGGCATCCCTCCTTTCTCTTTTCATCCCACTTTTCATTTCTGTCTTCTGGTCCATGTTGTGCATAGTCTTGAACTGAAATCTTTCCAGGTACAAGACAGTTACAAATAATTGAAGAGTTGAAATAAGTGACCCCCTATCTCTGGTCATGTCCATTTCCCACAGGAGATGCCTCACTCAGGGTAGTGTATTTTCCCAACTACCCATGTGTCCCGGGGCCTGGTTATTGCCATGCACGGCCTGGGTTGTCTCAGTGTCCTGGCCCCAGTTCTGCAGGACTACACAAACCAAGCTTCTGCAAATACCACTTTCAGCTTAGGGACCTCCAGGGGCTCCCTCTGGCCAGTGGTTCTCAACTCCAGCTGCATATATCTCCTGGTAGCTTTGTAGAAAAAAAGCACAAGGTCTGCAACTCTACCCAGATTAACTGAATCAGTAACTCCAATAAGGGGGGCGGGGGCCTCCTGGGTGGCTCAGTCAGTTAAGCGACAGTTAAGGTCGAGCTCCGTGATGGGTTGAGCTGTGCTGGGCATGGAGCCTGCTTAAGATTCTCTCTCCTTCTTACTTTGCTCCCCCTCCACCTCCACCCCCTGTCCCCACTTGTACTCTCTGTCTAAAAAATATATAATAAAGAAAGAAACTCCAATAATGGAACACTAGCTTGAGCATTTCCTGTTCCACTCGGGCATATAAGCCAGCCTGCCACCCCAGGGAGGCTGTGGGTGCAATTCCGAAGGATCTGGTTGATCCTTGACCCTTAGACTCTCACCCCAGAGAAACATGCCAATGTGTGCAAATAAAAACCAGGGCCCAGCAAGGATTCTGTCGCAGCATTGCTTGTGACAGAGAACAAATATCATCATTAACAACTAATACCTGGAGGGCTCACTATGTGCCAACCATGTTCTAAGCCTTTTGCTGTATTTTAACTCATTTAATTGTCACACCAACCTATTAGGCAGGAAGGGAAAAATTGCATCCACACTCCTCGTTCTCAAGACTGAGACTCTGCAAAGGCCTCTGCCCTCTACCTGAGCAGTTAACTTGGGACTTCCTCTTCACCCGAGTCTCCATGGGCTAAGGTGATCCCCAGGAGCCAACAAGAGGTTAAAGGGAATGCGATCTGGATTGTGAGGAGTCTTCCTGTGTCTGGGTCGAGGGTTGTGGGAATGGGGCCACATACAGCCCCAGATGGAGTGCCAGAACCTCACGAGGGACAGGGCTGGGTGGCCCAGTGTATCCAGCTCACAGCCCCAGGCTACACAGTAGGGGTTTTAGAGGATGAGGCATGTGAGATCCCAAGGACCAGCAAGGAAGGGGCATTAAGGCCTCCGGAGGCTGGGCCGCCCCTCCAGGGACTAGGCAGTTAGAACGCTTGGAAGTGGGGCCCGTGCTAGGATTGGGCAGCCAGAAATCTAGCGGGCGGGGCCAAGTGCTAAGAGGCGGGTCGAGAGGCTGGGCGCATCCTAGGATTGGGCAGTCGAAAAGACGGGAGGCGGGGCCGCGAGCCAGGCGCGTCCCAGGACCGGCGGCAGAAGACCCAGGCCAGCGGGCGGGCCACTGGGCGGGGCTCACAGGTGTCGGGGGCGGGGCCGTGGGCAGAGGGGCGGGGCCAGGCTCGGCGGGGAATGGGGGCGTCTCCTCCCTCGTTCGCTCCCTCCCTCCCTCGGGCCGGGCCCCCTCACCCGTGGCGGCCGCTACGCTGGCCGCGCTCCAGCGAGATGAGATAGGCTGCGAGCTTGGCGTCGCTCCAGCCGCTGCGGCGCCGCAGGTCCACCCAGGGCCCGTGCGCCTCGCCCAGGTACACACGCCGCACGTCGTACTTCTTCCGGGACTCGAGCCGCCGCCGGGCTCGGTCGGACTCCGTGAGCCGCGGCCGACCCCGCGCCTTGCGGCCCGCCGCGCCCTCCTCGGCCGCCGCCTCCCCGCCTGCGCCCGCCTCAGCCTCCGCCTCCGCCTCGGGCTCCGGCACCCGCTCCGCCATCCCCCCCTCCCTGGTTACCAACCTCCCCCGTTGTTAGGAGCCCGGCCGGAAGTGGCGCGCATATTCCGCGCCGACGGGAAATTTCTCACGGACTTTCACTGCCCCACGGCGCCAAGAGGAGACCGAGAGCAGAAACTGCGCATGCGCGCCACAAGCGCTAGCAACAACCCATTCTTCTCTTACTCCTTTTCTCTGTTAAACTTTCTAACTTCGCAGAGACCGAGGGAGGGGCTGAGTTGAGGCCAGCCGCGGGAAAAAAGACCTAGATGAGCCCGTAGACCCTGGGAGGTAGGGGCTCCTCCCTCCACGCCTCATCCTGAATGCATCCTGGAGATGACAAGGGAAGGGGACGAGCTGTCAGGTGAAGGGAGAGGGAAAGCCTGGAGTCCAATCTGTCCGTCCCGGATGCTGCAGATCCCTTGAAAAGCCAGGCCACCAAGCATTAAAGGGAAAGAAACGCCACACTGCCAGAGAAGAGAGAGGGCAGCCCCAAGACGCAAAACTTTTATTTGCTGTACACTCAAAAGGCATCTCACGCTATCACACCAGTCCACAGCTTGTGCGGGTGATCGCTCAAGCTCAGCTCTGGCCCTGCTGCTGTCGCTGCTGACTGTCCTCCTCTTCTTCCTGGCCCTCTGGTGGGGGCGGGGGTGGGGGCGGCTCCTCCAGCCCGGAGGAGGACGCCAGGAGCTCCCCGGTGGACCCCGCCAGGCGGAAGACCACGGGGATCTGGGCCAGGGCTGGGTTGGTCTCCTGCAAGCCCTGGATCCACCTGGCCAGTGTAGCTTGGTCGTGGGCACCCGCCATGCATATGGCGAAGACAGGGCCTTCCTCCACTGTTGGGGAAACAGGTGCTCAGAGTTTGTGCAGTGGGGACTGGAGGAGCACCTCCCATGCCTGCACCCCTTCCAGGCCACAGGTGGGATGTTTCTTGTGCACCCAAGCCTTTGCACAAGATAGCCCATCCACCTAGATTGCTAATCCCATGCTTCACCTGAGTGATGCCTCCTGGGTCTTCAACATTCCACCAGGAAGTCTCCCCACATCCCACCCATGCTAGATGGTGTGCTCCTCCCTTGAGACCCCAAGAATATAACTTAACTTGCCTGTTCCCCCACTGCCCAGAGCTGCTCAAGGGGAGGAGCTTGGCTTATCGGGGTCACACTCAGTAGCCAGCACAGAGATGCTCCATGACCAAGGGCTGACAGGCCTGGAGCCACTGGGAGTACGTGTGTGTGTGTGTGTGTGTGTACTTGGACATCCCCTGGGAGTGTGTGTGTGTGTGTGTGTGTGTGTGTGTGTGTACTTGGACATCTACTGGGTCTGCATGTGGGGTAACTGGGCTGGGTCTCAGCCTGAGTGCCACCCTTCCACCCCAGAGGCCTCATTATGTCGGTGTTTGGAAACCTGCCCATCCCAGTTTTACCTTTATGGATGTCAAACTCATAGTCATCCCAGCTGCTCCTCCCGTAATCCAGGTCCAGCTGCATCGGGTAGTGGAGATTCCATTCCTCTGGAATTTCTTCCACTTCCTACCCCAGGGAGGCGGGTACAGCAGGGTCAGAGGCCCAGAATCTTGCAGCCAGCTACAGCCTACCTCCCGAAACCAGGAGCTATCCCTTCCCCTTCTGCCTGCCCCTCTGAGACCTAACATGAGCCCTCAGGCTGGTGCCAACAACCCCCCAAACACACCCATACCCCCCCCCCACTCATGCTTTGGGTCCTTACCCTCTCCTCAGGGGGCAGCAAGTCAGCTCTGAGGATGTGATAATAGACACATTTGTCTCGGAGCCACAGGGAAAAGGGGCCCTCGACGAAGATAGGCCGGGCTGGGTTGTGGTGGGCCAAGGCAGCCTGCTGTTCAGGAGTCTGGATTCCTGGTGTGGAGACACACATGCCCAGGGGGCCCTGGCTGATGGACTCTGGCCAAAGGCCCAGGGAGCCCACCCAGCAGGCCTGGTGGGAATCCAGCACCCCCATGCCAGAGCCTTACCTACAATGTGGGGCTCGGTGGGATCTGCTGTACCTGTGGAGTCTTTGGAAGAAGGCATCTGCAAGGAGGAGTAGGGGTGGAAGCTTGTGGCCCCCAGCCCCTATAGAAGAGCTGGGGAGAAAAATGGGGGAAGGGGATCCCAGCGAATTCAGGGCTCCTCTTGGTCTACCCATCACTCAAGCCCATCCCTTCCTTACTTCTATCCAATTTGGCACTAGCTGCTGTCATTTAAAATGTGTACACAGAGGGAACCTTAGAGCCTGCCTGTGTTAAAATCTGGGATCTGCCACACAGGCTGTGTGACTGTGGTCAAGTCGATGTACCTGTGTGCCTCAGTTTCTCCAGATGCAAAATGGAGATAACACCACTTAATTCAGATGGTTCTAAAATGCCGAGAACAGTGCCTGGCACATAGTAAATGCTCTGTGCTTGTGAAGTTTTAAAAAGAAAAATAATTTCACGTGCACAGTATACTCCAAGAAGGAGACACAAGAAGCAAATCAGCAAACTCACGACCCTGAGATCAAGACCTGAGCTGAGATCAAGAGTCGTACACTTAACTGACTGAGCCACCCAGGCACCCCAATACTGATTTTTCATTTTAAATTTCACACTATGGATTTCTTTTACATCTGTTTGTATATTTTTCTCTCTCTTTTTCTCACACTAAAAATCTTGGTTCCTATCAATAGTAATACACTTACTCATCCATCAAACTATAGAAATAGTTTTGATATTACTGCTAACCATACTGCTATGGGATTAAGTTTAGGATTTCCCTACAGGTATGTTTGTTCTTAGAATAGATGCCACTAAGGATGGGCAGTTGGACAACTGACTCGGAAGAACTTTTTCTCTCACTGATTATACTATCAATTTGATATTTAGCCATATCCATTTGTTTCTGTTTGTTTTCAATTTTAGGGGAGTTACCCCCCCCTTTGAATTAAAAAATACATGTAAACATTTTCATAGTTTAAAAGTCAATCCATATTAAATAGCTGTCTCTCTTCCACTCCTGTTCTCTCTACCCCATCTCCTCCGCCTGCCCAGAGATAATCGTTTCTATCCATTTCAGATTCATCTTTGCATTATTTATTTTTGTGAAAATAGGCAAATAGGTACATGCACTTTTATTTCCCCTACTTCTCACACTGAAGGGAGCTTACTGTACCACTGAAAATACTTCAACTTTTCACTTGCCCCCCCCTTTTTTTAACCAATCTGACTGAAGTGTTAGAATCTACGTAGACAATGCCCTCTTGATGGAGTCTTGAATTGTTCTATTCTAAATCTAAGTAGTGTTGGTGATCATTTTACCATGTTTTCAACCTTTCTGTACGTACTTTTCATAATGAGGGGAAACAAGAATACATACAAAGGATATATCTGCTTGCAAATGCATAGGATCTCTTTGGAAGGAGACACAGATGTGGTCACCTCTGGGGAAGGAGCCTGGGGACTGAAGGGCCAGGCTAGGAGAGGAGAACTCTTCATTGTGTGTACTTGAGGACTATGTGGCTTCTAATGCTTTACTTTCCAAAATGAAGAAATGAGTTAAAGACTACCGTTCCTCTGCGATGTGCTCCAGGCCAAGTCTCTGTCCTTTCTCACCCGAACACCCCATTACCTACTGTCCTAACCCCTCGGTCCTCTGCCCGCCCGCATTCAGTACCATCCACATGGCCAACGGAGGGTGCTTTTGAAACAGAAACTCCCTCCAGAAACATGACTCCCACCCCATCCTTCCTCTTCTTAAAACTTCCTGGTGGCTCCCTCCCCACCAACCAGTTCAAACCACACTCTTTAGCTTGATGCCTCTGTGCCCCTTCTCCCCCAGCCTGACCCCCTGCACTGACCAGAAGCCCTTTCTGCATCTCCCAGCTGCCCTCTGAACCCCAGCCCATGCTGCTCCCTCTGTCTAGAATACTCTCCTTACCTGTCTTGTCCCACCTGAGTGCAGCTCACCCTCACCTCCTCCAGGAAGCCCTCCCTTCCTCTTGCCCCTTCTGGGCTCCCACAGCCCCCAGTGCTTCTCCATCTCAGAACCAGCAGCTCTGAGAGAAACTGTTACCTGGGGTCAGCCTCCAGGACCACAGGATCCTCCATGTGGTCTGGCATGAGTGGGCCCCTAGGACACCGGGGCGTGTGTGTGTGTGTGCGTGTGTGGACTGTTTCATTCAGTCATTCAACAAACAACTGCTGAGCTCAGCTTTGTGCCAGACCCTGTGCTGAACCTTGGGAGACACAGGGGAAACTGAGTCATGGTAAATAAGCAACCAAGCCAGGCACCCCGTGCCTGAGCCAGGGTGGTCAGGAAGGGGATCCTGAGGAAGGGACAGCATAGATGAGATCGGAAGAACATGAACTCCCAGGGAGGAGTGGTCCTGGCAGAGGGAGCAGTAAGCACAAAGGCCTTAGAAGTAAACTGGCATAGAATGCTTGGGAACTGGGGCACTTGGGTGGCTTAGCCGGCTGAGCGTCCAACTCTTGATTTCGGCTCAGGTCATGATCTCAGGGTCCGGGATCAAGCCCTGCATTGGGCTCTAAGCTCAGCGTGGAGTCTGCCTTGAGATTCTCCCTCTCCCTCTACCCCTCCCCCACCCCCTCAAATAAATAAATAAAATCTTAAAAAAAAAAAAAAAAGGAAGGCTCAAGCTCCAGAAAGGAAGACAAATCCCAGAATACAGTGTGGGGAGAGGGGCAGGAGGAGAGGTCAGAGGTCAAGCTGCAGTGAGGAGTGAGGGCCACGGGAACCTAGTGAGGGCTCAGCCTGTCTCAGCACAATCACTCAAGGTGAGTGAGGGGGCCCAGGCTGGGGTTGCAGCTGAGGGTGTGGACAGGGGTGGATACCTGGTAAATGGTGACCGTGGCGCTGAGGTTGGGCTCCATGTGCCGCAGGCCCAACTTGGCCAGGTCCACAGGGTCCTGGGGCAGGTCCCGGGGCACAGGGAAGGGGTTGATATTCTTGAAGCGGGAGAACCACAGCTTCATGCGCACGTACTTGAGCATGGGGTAA